TCGATCCATTTCCGTGCAGCGTCCAAAATTCCGTTAGTAAGCGACTTGATGCAAACTTTCCAATCACTTCGTTGGCCAAGTCTTGATGTCGATGGCAGATAGCTACTTCTTGTAAGCCTTGAGTCTTTGTCTCTTCTGCTAAGATGCGCACATTTGATGGGATGATTCGCCAGTTTTGCTCTAGCCATTTCCGGTCTTCAATTCACGTTCGTCCCTTTAATTTGACATCGTGGAATCCAGTCAAAGCTCCTACAAACTTGCTGCGAGATGTTGTAGATGTAGAGCAACCATTCCGTTAGTACAACCCGGTTGTAGCAACCATAATATGGCAACCTTATTGGTAAAACAACCTTACCTGCTAAACTTCCAGAGTTTCAAATCAATAGTGGCGACAATATCAAGGACGATCCCTTGATTCTTCACGCTATCTTCGAGTGAATCCGGCGAGTCCTGTTCTTTCCATGCTGTTGTGACGGCGGCTTGGAGTGATCGACTGATATCAATTGGAACTGCAAATACGTGCATGTAGTCCGTGTGCCGCATTGCTTCCCACCGACACTCGATGCTACGGGCTCTAAAATAGGGATCTTCAAGCTGAACTGGATACTTGGCAAGTGTATCCATGACGAATTTCAAGTTTTCCGTGTTCCTTGCCCAACGTACAAAGCGATCAAGAGTCACAGTAAGCCCAGCTGGGTATTTGTGAATAGCTAGACGGGGTTGACCGGATGTCAACGTAGTTTGGCGGAGCTGCTTCGTCGTCACCCTGGAATTACCGCGACGTTTCGGCCGAGGAAGGCTTATGATATCAACAGCACGGCTTGCAATTGTTGGTACTTCCGGATCTGGCGGCGACATATTAGTATCATTGACGCGTTCTGGATTTGCACTGTCCCCTTCAGACTCAGATGCTTCAGACTCAGATGCACCTCCACTATCCGTGCAGGCTTCTGTAGAGGGCGAAGCGGATTCTAGCTCGTCCATAAGTTTCGCTGTTTCCATTGCCTCAAGTGGGTCAAGCGAGGAGAAATCGTCTTGATCGTCATCGTCTTCGTTACTACTACCGTCATCGCGATTACCATTGACTTCGCGGTTGAGACCAATCTCCACCGTGTCCTTCCAGGCAGAGTGTTCTTGATAGAAATCAGCGCTTGATAGACACGATAAATGTTCCAGCAGAGGCTCTAACACTGCTTTTGCGTATGAATACTTTTCCGATGACGACAAAACCACCTGGTTGGCACGCTCCTTCCTGTGAAGGCGAACGTAGGCAATCGCTTTGGGTATCTTAGAAGCTGTCATACAGGATCCGTGATCATCACTTTGTTCCGCAACCTTGTCATCCTCCGGTAACTTTACTTTCGGCGACCTTAACTTGGACATTTGCACAATAGGTTTCAGTAAGTCGGCCGCCGCAGCAAGGTCTTCTTTTGCTTCTAAGGCCACCGACAAACTCCATCGTTTGTCAATCGAAGTAACAGGTAACATATTGAGCCGAAGTCCAGATTCTGCCAAATGCATCATGTGTCGGCAAGGTAGATGATGACTCTTGAAGAATAAGCAGGTACATGTCCATTCTCCATCGTTGCACACAAATGTTTCATTCCCACAGTTGACCTTACAAAACGAAACACTTCCAGCAACTCGTTTGCACAAAGCGCCTGCCATAAGGTTGACGAAGCGCTCCCACTCCTTCTTGACCGTCGAAAATATATCCGCAGACAGTCTATTAGCCACAGCTCGCAAAAACTTTGGCACCGTCTTGGGAGCACGTGAAGCTGAGTGCTGATGTCCAATAGTGAAAACAATTTTCTGCGTAACTGTCATTTGATGCTGAAGCAACCCAGCAATAGTCTTGTCAATTCTCGTTTTGTGACCAAGCAGCATCTTGACTTGATTCCAGTTTGACTCGATCCTATTCGTTGTGGTATTGCCAGCAGTAAAAGCCTTCCCTCTAGCAAAATTGGCCCACATGTCACGGCACGAGTTCCAGTTTTTATCGAAGTACGCAAAAAAGGCTTCGCGCTTCTGGTCCTTACAATACTGCCGCAGTGCATCGTAGTAGAAGTTGTATCTGGTACTAGAGGTACTAACATAAATCAAAGGCAATCACAAATTAGCCTCCACATACACGGTGAAAAGCAACCTTACTCACCTGTAAAGTAGTTTCATCATTTGGACCAGCCGTTCCTCACATTGCGAAACTCTTAGGCGATACAACGGACGCTTCATTACCTTCTTCCAGTAACTAATGGCATGGAACTGACATAACAGAACCTTGGCTCTCGGAAAGGCATTCTTTAATACGCCCCACTCAGCAAAATCTTTGTCAATCACCACCGATTGAATGTGCTTCCAGCCCGAGTTCTTCTCCTTGAAGTAGTCCAAAATTCTGGACATTGTCAGTGCTTGCTCGTTGAGACAAATGAAATCAAAAACCGGAAACCCTCGACCCGTATCTGTGGTGACAACCAAACTTCCTAACGGTCAAAACCAAAACAAAGTTGAGTTAATCATACAGCAACTTTAAGTAGATAAGGTTGTTATACATCAGAATAAAGTTACAGCAACCATAGCTGTACGCACCCAGATGACAGCCCAGATTATTCGTTCCGTGGGTAAAGTCCATCGCTAACGTTTCACCCCATCGCTCGAACATTAGCTTCTGCACTTTTGTCTGCAAAACGATCCCGGTTGTAACGCCAATTTGGTCTTGCATCACGAGAACATCACTGCCATCCAATTGGCGCAGCGCGTGCAGCATGTCCTTCAATCGGATTTCAGCAGAATCCCTCCCCATGATATTGCGAATGAGGTTGCGGGTCTGCTGTGGAGTAATCTGGCAGCCTATTATTTACATATACAGTCATACGAAGAACATAGTAGCAGACGTGTTAATTAAAATAAAAAAATAAAATCTGACTTACATACCAATCCGCTCATTCAAAAAGCTGGAGATGTGCTTCGAAGAAACACGTGCATCCGCCAAGGTTTTCACGTCCTCACGATCCTGCTCGTTCAATGGTAAGGTCTTAGTCGTCAGATATGACGAAGCTTCAGACGCAGTGGTAGGGTGGGAATGGGTGTGATTCTGGACAAAGCAGATAGCGGTTGGTAACTATAATAACACCCATAATTTTCGATAGCAAACCTCGTTGCGAATCTTGATAGTAAACCCCTCCGTAGATGTCCGGATCACAACGGCTGTAAACCGAGCGCTGCACCCGCAATAGCGAATCTTGCGGTTGCGGTGTCCTTTAGAGCGAGAGCTCTGTGAAACCCCGTGTGTACAGCGAAAGATTCTGCTGGCCCACTGAAAGTCGGTGGGTATCTGATCGTCGTTTGTACTACACAATAAAGCAACACATTCACGAGTTAGGTTTTAGCACGTAGAAAGCAAAAGCAAAAACTACTTGTTGTAACACACTGTAGTTTGCGAGCTTCGAACCCGGAACTTGAGATTGTTTTGGTCCTTGTAGGTTTCAAGCACCTTGTCAAACTCTTCCCAGCTGTGGATAGGGAGAGAGGGAAACGGCGGAACAACGTTGATGATCTCCTCACGGTCCAATTGCATGGGCTTCAACTCGTCAATGTGTTTGCTTGACCGTTTTCAAGGAACATACTCCGGGCGCGTCGCCTCCGGTATAGCAATGTCCTTCTTACAGTCTTTTGCCGTCTTGTCCCTCGTAATGTTTGCAAGAAGTGCGTCTGACACAGTTTTCTCTTTCTTAAAGGGGGGAGGCGAATAGTGAGGAGAAAAGCTCCGCTCCTCGGTGGAGACGTGCGGTGAGTGCAGGCGTTTTGCGCCGCAAAACACTTTCCCCTTCCCGATTGCTAAAAACAACATTAACAGATGTGGTGAAGATGTGGTGAGTGCCTCAATTAACGGCAATCATAATGTTAAAGCAACAAAATCCAACGTACTGGACGGCTTTTGCTGCATCTTTCTGGCCCTCTTTATCTGCGATTTCCCCTTGCGACCTAGCACACAGCATATACGCTGTTAGAACCATTAACGTTTCACATAAAATGACGTCTCCATCGTACTCTGTGGGGCAAGATCATCCAAGTCATCAGAAGACTGGTAGACGTCTTCAGACTCTTCCCTGTCGTCTGGCAGAAAGTGGGCATCGCTGCTGTCGTCCTTTCCCATGCCAAGAGCGGCATACATGTAGTTAAGCTCTGTCTGCTTTCCCTTTCGCAGGCCCGCCCTAAAATGTTTGTATAAGAAAGGTTAGAAAATTCTAAAACAGTATCTGCAGCAGATCAGTTTATCCTAACCATGTGGCGGCGCACCCTCTGCCTCACTCATAAGCGAGTCTTCTTGGAGGGCTGCGGATGGAACTCTCCTCGCGCTTCCGTGTGCGGTCCAGCTGTGCAGGGCTCACCGATCGCGCCGCCCGAGGTCTGGATGCTTCTGGCGTCGTGTAGTTCTGGAAATATGAGGCCCTCCGCTGTCGTACTTAACGTGATCACTTCAAATTCGTATCTAAGCGAATACGGTAAATTAGAGAAATAAGTTTCCTTGAAATTTCTGAAACTGAAATACAGCAACCATATTTGTCTCAGATTGGCTAAAACAACTTTAAGTTAAGGCTGCACGAACCACTATAACGAGTGCCTTTATAATAAAGCCGCGGCTTTTTATAAAGCCGCGGCACAATTCAACACTGGCAGGAAACACTCAGCCGCACAGTGGAAAGCACTGAGATCGACCAGGAGCTTTGCGTGACATGCATCAATCCACATCACCAAACTTTTGCAAACAGTGAAAACCTTTCTTTTCCAACTCAAAAATATTCCCCCTCCCTTACAAAACGCAAGTGATTTGGCAACAACGAAAAAAAATCTGCGTCTGCAGACAGACGAGACGGGTATAGAGTCGGTCCAGAGGCCCGCGTACACACGACCGGCAGCTGGTCCCAAAAGTGCAAGATCAGCTTCAGAGGAAAGCCCTCCATTAAAACCCAGCATTTTCCTATTTGCCACCGATCTCCGCTATGGCTTTCAAGACGCTTTTCCTGTTCGCCCTTGGCGCCTCAAGCGCGCTTGGCCAGAACGACGACCTCACCATGTCGGTGGGCACGAACGGCACTACCGTCCAGGCCGTGAGCGGCACCACCGAGTTCATGGGCACCGAGTACAACCCGGACAAGTGCGTGTTGCAGTTTTTGAGTCTCGAGTGCGATGACGATGACTGCGCCGAACTCAACGGCTACGAGCTCGAGTGCGTGTCTCAGGGCAAGCAGAACGGCAAGGACAAGAAGCTGTGCCAGTGCAAGTCCGAAGACCTCACCTCTTGCCAGAACTCGGCCAACCCGAACGCCACATCCGGCACTGTCCCCCAGTTTGGCGAATGCAGCGAGCAGAACCAGTGCGTTGACTCGTACGGCTACATTGCCACATCCACCGAGGAAGGCCCCATTTGTGCCGAGAAGCTCCACTGCGTTCAGGAGATCAACACGACGGCAACGGAGCCCGCCTCTATCTGCCACACGTGCATGTCGTGCATTGCCCAGAACGACGCCGCCGATAAGCAGCTGGCCGGCGTGAAGCGCTTCAACTGCTCGTCCATTTGCCCACAGGAAATCCTCGACACTGTGGCCGAACGCAACGCCGCCGGTGTGGGTATTGCCGACTCGTACTCGCTTACGGCTTCATCTGCCGGCTCGGACGACTCGAACTCGACCACTTCGTCTAGTGGCAGCAGTGCCGCGGGCTCCAGTAGTGCTTCGTCGATCCCCCAGTCGAACCTGGCTGTCATTCTCTCGGCCGTCATTGGTGTGGCCCTCTTGGCTGCTATGAATTAGGTTGACAGAGAAGGAAAAATAACCATCACTCTGGTATTAATGTTATCAACCAACGCTTTTCGTTACAGAAAAAAGGTGATTTGTTTTACTTGCAACAATTAAGAGATGTCAAAAGTTGATACTGACTAGAGAAATTAGGAGACATGGAGAGAGTTCAGGCGACTCGTGATGTCGTTGAACACGTAGCGAGTGCATCGATCGTTGATGCGGTCGCACTCTGACGCCTGAAGGCCAATACGTCGCGACACGGCCCGTCGAGCCTCCTCTGCGTCTGGCGTCTCGGGTGTAGACGGCGAGTTCTTGGCTTTAGGCAACGGACAGTATCCCTTGATCGACGTGTGGCGAACGGATATCACGCCAGTACCTGCCTCACGTCGAATGACCATCGCACCACACACGTTTCGACGAATAGTCTTACGACCCGGTGTGTCCACGGGCATCGGGTGTAGCGAGTCATCGTCGACGTAGTCCCATAATATCATTCCTCCGTCCGAGTTGCGCTGTTCTCGAGTGATGACACGAGCCTCCACTTTGATCTCGTCGGTTTGCCGCGACTCGTCCACAATTTCCAGAATGGGCTCCATCGACGCGGCCAAATCAGTGTAATAGATACGCGATTTGGTCACCCCGTCGCCTTCGTCTAGGTACACTTCGTCCACCGATCGAGACTGGTACGCAACTCCCGGGTAGTACACACCGATGGACCGCATGCTCGTGAACACGAGATCCAGTATCATATCGAGCGTGCACTGAGGCGTCTCTTTGAACAAAAAGACCGAAGTGAACTCCTTGATCACGCGTCCATCACCAGCCTCGTCCGCTGTGCAACAATGAGGAGTGTTGGTCGGAGTGTTGGTCGTGGTGTTAAATAGCTCTCGCATCAGGACGTCCGTGTCTCCGTCACCCAGCAACTGGGCGTCACGTGTTCCATCGTGCAGCATTTTCACACTACCCGAGTACACTTGTCCCCCAGCCAGCAGTCTCTGGGTCTCGCCCTCAGTGTTCTTGAGCACCAGGTTGTTAGCGAGTTCCATCTTGCTCTTGGGGAAGTGAGCCACGTACTCCTTCCTTCTGGCCAGCGCGTCTCTCGACGCTAACGCTGTGTACGAGTGCACCCAGTCATGGAACTCGAGCGTCTTGGAGCAGGGTAAGCCTCCTCCTCCCATCAAGGCTCTCATGCCTCCCAAGAAGGCTGTTTGCTGGAATAATGCCTGCTTCAGCACCTGGTTTCTCTGCTCGGCCTGCTTCCTCTTGCGACGTTGCGTCATGGCTTCCTCCTCGTACGCCACAAGCTGGTCGTTATCGGCCAGTTGGCTTCTCCTCTGGGCTCTCAAAGTTGATAATTGCGCCGTGAGTCCGGCCATCTCGGCCTGCAGCGAGGTCACGAGGCATTTCTTCTTCTCTCGGTGTCTCTGCACGCTTGAGGCGATCTGCGAGCGTCGTCTCTGCTTCTTCTGTTCCTCCAGAGTCAGCGGCTCCTTCTTCAGACCTGAACCCGCGACCTTCCTGCCTCTGCCACGTCCTTTTGCGACGTTTTTGGGGCCCTCACTCGTGGCAACGGATTGTGGAGCTACCTGAGCTACATCAGGGATGCTGCTGGCGCTGCTCGAGCTGCTGTACCCGGCTGGAAGTGCCCCTGAGAACGGAGAAGCAGGCGAAGCCTCGCTCTGTCCCAATTGGGCCGACGTCTGCGTCAAATGGGGCGAATGGTGGCTCAAAGTGGCGGCCGGTGGAGGCGGAAGCGCGCTGAGCGCATCGTCGATCAAAAGGTCGCTCAGAATTTCCCAATCTCGGTCGAAATTACCCACCGGGAGGTCGGATGACACATCGTCAGACGCAGGCGATGACGCGCATTCGCTGCTGCTACAGGCCGACGGGGAGTCCCACACGTGGGTGGATGGCGGAGGAGATGTGTACGAGTAGGAGGAGGGGCGATACGCGGACGGGGAGGCGGCCGAGGCGCCGGCCTCAGGCATTGCGAACAAGCTCTCCATGACCGAGGCTTTTGGGTTATGAAGCCGGTGCAATGAAGGTCACGAGTGGGATGAGACACACGTTGAGCCTGTGAAATACAATGGAGACTCGGCAAGAGCGATAGAACTGTAAAATGGGATATTAGATGCTCTTGCACGCTGGCTGTATAAGCCGTGTAGGCTATTTTAGAATGCGATAGTTCATTTTATTTCATATAAATTGTTGAATTAATGTATGAAGGTTTCTACAGCTAGAAGAACTCGGTGTGACCGTCCCCGATTGGCTAGAGCTGGCTTTCTTACAGCCAATGATAGACACCCTCCTGTGGCGCGCCACAAACGCGGAGTATCAATAGTGGTCACAGCCGGCGTCAAAGATGGGACGACTTGTAGTTGCTTTGCCGCCGAGTCACTAAGTAGTCTGAGTGCTGCACGGGGGGATTGTTCTCCATGTGTCGATCGCTTCTAAGAGTAGGAGCCATTTAAATGTAAATACACTTAAGTATCAACTTTAGGAAAGTAATCAGGAAGTAACGTAAACACGTAAGTGCCGGGCAAAAGGCCGCGACAGGACTGCGGTGTCTGGCGAGGCTGCTCTCTTCTCTGCTGCTCTCTGGTGAGCGGCAGGCGTCAAAACGCAAAGTGTGGAGCAGCCTCCGCCAGAACACCGCTGTACCGCAAAGGTAGATTATTATACAAATAGCAAATAAGTCAATACTAAACTCTAGATAAATGCACTCTCGTTTGAGTACACCATCTTGGCAGCGCACAGCCAACGATGTCCTTGTGCATACAGTCCTTGGTATAGTCCTTCGCCATTGCACGCATGTGTACTCAGTGTAGCCGGCTGTAGTGCAGCCGCAAGCTGCATTGCTAGGCGCATGAGTGTCCTTGGGATGTGTCTTTGCAGACACTGGCAGTGGACGGTGGCTCGTAGATGGGGGCACCGGACACTGGCAGACTGCAATGCACTGGCAGCTCGACACGCAGGTAAGTTTTATAGCTCACACTCCCACTTGATCTCGGCGACGGCATTTGGAAGTCGACGCGATCACACTGAGCGGGTCCTAGGTGCCGCCATAGTCCTAGTAGTAGCGTAGTCACAGCTCAAAAGCAATAGCAGTCCACTCAGTAACAGCACTCCCACTCGATCGCCCTCGTCTTCATGAATGTTGCTCAGGTACAGCCTCTGCATCAACAGCAGTAGTCAACGCAGTAGCAGTAGTCGTAGTTGTAGTCATGTCCTCGGATACGTTGTCGTCGCTCGACACAATAGGTAAGACTTTCATAGCCTTGCGAAAGTGTGTGAACTTCACCGCTGCAAGTGCCTTTGTCATTATATCGGCCACCATATCATCAGGTCCGATGTGTTGGGTTGAACTCCACGTGGCGTCTGATCATGTGGTACTTGTTATCGATATGTTTCGATTTTGAATGTTTGCCAGGTTTCGCAGTTAAGGCAATGGCTCCTTGATTGTCTCCCAGTAGTTGAGGTACTGGATGCTTCCAGCTCAACTCCTTGCATAGGCCAGCAAGCCACAATAAGTCCTTGGTCGCTTCTGCCATTGCTACGTACTCCGCTTCACAGGTACTGAGTGCGTTGATCTCTTGCTTTCGAGATGCGTAGGAGATGACTTTGTCGTCCAGCATAGTGATGTAGCCACTGATACTCCGTCGATCCACAGGGTCGTTCGCATAGTCAGCATCAGAGTAGCCACTAACTTGCACATCAGTCTGTCGCTTCACGTTCATCACTAGTCCGTAGTCACATGTAGCCTTCAGGTAACGCAGCACCCTTTTGGCTTGTGCGAAATGCATATGATCATAGCTCGCAAGATACTTGCCCAGGTGTCGGGTAGCATGAGCTATGTCAGGTCTCGATGCACTAACGAGGTACTGGAGAGCACCCACCAAATCTCTGTAGGGAAGATACTCCTTCGAAGCAGGCACGTCTGTCTTCGAGGGCGTTGTAGCTTCTGGTGTAGCGCAGCCATTACAGTTCTCCATATGAAAACGCTTCAACACCTCCAGTACGTACTGCTTCTGGCAGTACACTATTTGGCGGCGCGGCCGGTCAATCAGGATCTCGACGCCTAAGAGATATTTGACTGTGCCCATCGTCGTGAGCTCGAATGTCTCTTGCAGTGAGGCAGCGATTGTGGCACACAGGTCACGTAAGCCCATCAGCAGTAGATCGTCCACGTAAACAGTCAATAGCAACTTGACTTCACCATCCTTCCTCAATTCATATAGGCCGTAGTCAGAGTCCGTCCTAGTAAACCCCATCGCAACAAGCTTCGCATGAAGCGTGCGATTCCAAACGTTCGGTGCTTGCTTCAGTCCGTACAGGCTCTTCAACAGTCTGCAAATGGATCCAGGTCCATCCACCTGGAAGCCAGGAGGCTGCTCCATGAAGATAGACTCGTCCAAGTCTCCATACAGAAAAGCTGTCTTCACGTCAAATTGAAACACCTCCCAACCTCTTTGTACAGCGTAGTAAATAGCAGCACGTATGGTTTCGAACCGGATCACAGGTGCATAGGTCTCAGAGTAGTTAATCCCAAGTTGTTGTTTGAATCCATGGATCACTAGTCGCGCTTTGAATCGTTTGATTCGTCCACGCTCATCTCGCTTCACAGCAAAGACCCACCTACACGTTATCACCTTCACTTTCTTGGCATCTTTGCGGGGTACAAGTTTCCAGGTCTTGTGACCCTTCAACGATTGAAGTTCCACCAACATTGCAGCTCTCCACTGCTGCCAGTACTTGCTTGCACGTGCTTGTTTGTACGTCGTTGGAATCTGCACATCCGTAGTCATAGCCTGCACTAGGCCTACCACGTAATCCGACAATCGAACGTTCGCCTTCTGCTTCCTTCTTGGTCGCTTTAGACAGGGCTCTCTTGATGGAGGTTGAATCTCGAAGCCACTTGTCTCCTTCTCCACCATTGCAGGTCTCTTCTTTG